GGTCTGTGTGCCACCTCATACCCATCTGCTTGTGCCTCCTCTCACTTCACTTCCTTGCAGGTGGAACAATATTAACAAACCATGGAAATTATAGACAAAAATCTGTCATTGCACAGCTCCCTGCGTGCGATGTGCCAGAAACACATGGCAACGGTGCTGAGGGTTTGCCTGCTGAGTGCAGCCCTGCCCTCTCTGCAATTCAGGACATGCCTAAGGTAATACTTTAGTACTGCAGGAGTCTGAAACGCGTGGAATTGTGAAACTGTTGGCCTGCTGGTCCATGTGCTGATCTCTCCTGCAGCATCACTGAATTTCTGACGCCACAGATTCTCCCGTAATAAGTGTGCTCATTGTGAGCCCACGGAAAAACTATTACCATGTTAACCTGTTGGGCTGTTCCTTAGGTCCTGCTTTGCATCTGACCCCAGGGACTGAGCTGGCATGGATGTGTCACAGTGGGGAACAGTTGCTGCAGCAGGCTGTTGCTTATCCTACAGAAGGAAAAAAAAAAAGCTTAGCAGTTTTACAGTAATCCAGTGGAAAATGGACTTAAAAAAATAACCGTGGGTTGGGGATTTTGCTTGTTTCCCATTGTTTTGTTTTGGCTACAAAGTGTTTTAGAAAAGTGCTTGCATGACGGGGGATGACAATGTCAAGAGAAAAGTCCTTCAGGAGAAATGGTCCCCTCCCTAGGAAATGCTAGAATTAACAAAAAAACCTAAACAAACCCCAAACCCACAACCCTGCAGCCTCCATACGTATGCACGTGGCTATGGAGATGTCTGGTATGTAGTATTTAGAGTAATCTTTTCAAGTGGCAAATGAGTCTTTAATGAAAAGTGCTTTTGAGACATTTTCATTTTTTTTCTCTAAATGCATGTGAGTAAAATCTGATTTCCTGGCGAGCCAGCGCTAATGTTTGATATGGAGTTGAGTCCCCTGGCACTCTGAGAAGAAAACCTAATGTATTTGAAACGTTCTGTGTGTTTGTAGGTGATGGCAGGGCCATGGCAGAGTTAACCACATAGGAAATGTCTTAGAGTCACCTGGCAAGTTACTTTAGTCAGATAAGTGCAGTCTCACCTGAATGGGCTCTTCCCACCAGGGTACTACTGCTTGGGCTGCTGCTGACTCGCTAAAACTCAGGGCAGCTTCAAACAGCTTATCTGAAACCTGGTGAGGTCGGGATCAAGGGAAATGGGATGAACTTGCACCTCGTGTGTGAAGCATTGCGGGGGGGGGGCTCTCCAGGTCCAGGGACTGTTGGAGCATGTTGCTGCTGCAGCAACTCTGTCTTAGTGAGCTTGGTGCTTTACTGATGGAAAACTTTATGGTCTCTGTTCTAAAGCTAATTTCTGTACCAGGACTGTTGAGTCTAGTGTGAAACAAGTGTGTTGTACGGTATGAGGGATTGTGCTTTTTGGGGAGTAGGAAACAATAATAATAGAATTATGGTTTTTTGACAGATGCTTAATGCATTGGTGCGGACACTTTCTTGTTTTGTTTAGAACAGACCACCGGATCTGGAGGAGGGGTCTGGATTTGCCCTGATTTTGCTATAATTATTTGGCCTTCAGTTAGAAATGTAAAGAGAGATGCAAAAATTACTGAGGATAATAGCTTTGGGGATGTCGCAGGGAGTTGTTGTTTTGCAAACGATTTGTGGCATGAAATCACAAACACACATGCTTTCCTGTTGGCAAAGGACACGTGAGTGCTTTCTGTGCTTCGGGAGTCCTTGGCCTGCAGAAGACCTGCAGCCAGGAATGTAACATCTGCCCTCAGCCAGGGGATGGGCTTGAAATGACCATGGCATAAAAAAAGCCATGCAAAAAGATGCAGCTCCACCTGACATCTGCACTGAAAGATCCCTGACAAGTTAATGTGGACATGTGCTCCCCACCCTTTCCTTGATGGTCTGTGGCAGGAAATTGTCTGAAGTTTTAAGCCAAATTTAACCAGGTTCTGAAAATAAGTGTTCACCTACTTCATGGTTTCTGATCCTTTTACTCCTTTTCCTTTCTTTTGGGTTCCTGTGCACTTCATAGTGCAGGTACATTGACTGTAGGCTAGTTAGGCTATAATTGTGGCACAACTACAACTCAGTCCTAATGTTGTCACAATTATCTCTTATTAAAGTGTAAATCATTGTTCAAGCCTGCCCTCTTTAACATCGCTCCTTTAACCTTACCCTTAGCAGCTTTGCGGTTTGGGGTTCTGGTACTTTAGCTACGCGATCACCTTCCAGCAGCCATTTGGGAACCCATTCCCCTCTGTATTCGTACTTACTGCTGAATTCTGTAGTCTTGCTGCCTTGCTGAGTGTGGATGTAGAGCCTTTGGGTTACTTACCTGTTTATCTCTCAGGGAGTCCTGTGGGCTTTCCAGCAAGATACCTCAGTTTCCATTGCATACTCCCGTGTTGTGGGTAGACCCCTGGACTGCAGGTTCAGTGCCTTGTTTGCCAGTCCCCTGCCAGCAGAGCAGGTCACTTTATTGCCATGTTTCAGGTTCCTGCTCTGTAAGAGGAAAACTGCAGTGGACCTCCCTTACAAAGTACTTTGGGGGCCGCCAAGGGAAAGTGCCATGTGGAGCTGGGCACTGCTACATACCTGTACTGTGTCATTACCAGTGCAGCTGGGATGGGAGCTGCAGTCTGAGATGAGCCCTTAGTTCTCTGTACCACCCAGAATCTCTCTGTAACTATTGTGGCAATGCACTGCAGATGTTTGAGAATAACGCCTGGAAGCAGCACCTTTGCGGTGGCTGTGTAAGCTGTAATGGGGTGCTGGCTGTGCCCCGGACAAGCAGACTGAGTGTTGCTGCTAAGGCAGAAATTCCCAATAGCTAGGGTGCGGTTTGACATAAATAACAAAACATTGATGTTTGCATTTTTTGTTTTCTGGAGGCATTCACGAGTCTGTTAGAAAAAGCCTGTTCTTGAAATGTGAAGGTGTAGGGAAATTCTTTTGAAAATGGCCTTGTGCTAAAGCAATTAAATAATGTTTATGTCGGATAATTAATTCCAAGGGAAAGATGAAATTGCTGAAAGGCAAAATAACAGAGTGAAAACAGTCTGCAGGTTTTTGAGGCATTTCTTATTGGAAAGGGAGGGCTTATTGCCGAGATTAGCTTCTCAGAGGTTTTAAAGTAGGGTTCAATAGCTATAAAGGCTGGATTGTTTGGCACCAGCATCTCAGTTTGTAGCTCTAAATGTCTGCTTGCAGTTAATGTAGGTGCAATAAACATATGTGTGCCAAAGAATTCATGGAAAAAACAGTGCAAGTGCCATAAGAAATGTGCTGCAGCAAAATGCAAGCATAGTTAAGTGAAAAAAAAGAAAAAAAAAAAAGATACCCACTTCTGAAAAACTCTGAAACAGCAGTGAAGAAGTTTTGAATGATTGCCAGATCTGATGTTGTCTCTGGATTTGCCCCCTATGTCTATACCTCTTTCAGTGTCCTATATGGCACCTGTACTGTGCCAGAGATAGCACCACTGCCTGGTGCTGATCACTGCATTCAACAGAGGCACTTTTGTCGTCAGTAAAATGAGGAATTATTGTCCCTCTCCATCCTTAGGCATCCCAGGCAATAGCAATGTGCCCAGCCCTCCAAGAGGGCAGAGAAACTGTGCTGAGAAGCACGCTCACAGCTCCTCGAAGATGGGACGTTTTTCTAATTTCCAGATTGGCTTTTGCTATATGATGTGCTCGCTTGCAGGGTCACCTCTGACAAGGGAACTGTGTTCTTAGTTTTTCTTACCTTGTAGCGGCCTCACAGGGAAGTTGCTTGGACGTCTCTGTACAGACCAGGAAAGCCTGTAGATCTCCGGCTGGAGCGCGGGCAGGCGTGATGCACTGTCTGCCTCCAGCCTGCCTGCGTTCAAGTGTGGGATTCAGCTGGGGTTCAAAAAGCGTGCCAGTGTCTGGGGAGGGCTGCTCTTCTGTCTCCGTGTATTGGTGGTCCCCAAGTGTTATTCCAGGTCCTTCTGCTCCCATTTTTCTTCAGGGGGAGCTGCCTGGACTGTGATAGCTTTTAAGTCTGAAACTAAATCAGGTGCTAAGTAACTGCATTGAAGAGTTATAGATAAGCTAATGAAATTCCTGGAGCAGTAGGAATTGAAATTCCTTTTTAAAAATGCCAAGTAGAATTAGCGGCATACTAAGTACAGCAACTGAAAGCACTCCATTTCCAACTCAGAGGGGCATCATTGGAAGAATTAACATAACACTTGAATTAAGGTAAATAATTACTGAATTGATTTAAAGTTATACACGAATAAGACTTCAGTGCAAAACGCAGTTCACAGAAAATGCCTCAGTAGTTATGCGCGGAGAGCCATGAAAGCGCTGTGAGGCTGGGTGCTGGAGAAGACTGTGTGTGGTTTCATGGAAGGGCAGCAAGGAAGCTCTGCTAGCGCATCTCAGCCGTTCCGGACCGGGCACTAGAAGACACGGGCTGGCCCTGATGTAGATGTGCAAGACCCAGGCAGGGACTCCTGCCTTTTGACGTGGCCTCTGGCACCCGCTCCTGCTGCGGTGTTGGCTACAACACTCGCTCTCCCACCTCAGCTTCGCAATTTGTAAACTAGAATTAATAGCGGCCACCGCTGGGGTTGTTTAGAGACTTCCCTGTGTTAAAATGCTTTTCACTTCCATGCTGCTCCAGTAGTGCTCAATATTACTGTTATTACATGATGCTTTCTTAGCTTGCTGTTCAGCATTCCGCAGGCTGATGTAAACTACCATTATGCTGGGTGGTATTATGTACGCTACTGTACTTCTGGCTTCCAAGGTCTATCATTTAGTTTAATTTGACAATTGTGTGGTGACTTGAGGAAAACTGCTGTTGAATTGGAGTTTGTTAGCCCGGAAAACATAATTAGTCCAAAAAGCCTGTAATTGTGTAATAAATGCAATACTGAATGGTCTTGCATATAAACCAGAGTAACTGGAATATAACTTTTGGTACCTTTTCTTTTTTTTTTTTTCCTTCCCAGTATGGGGTACTGCATCCTTTTTGTCCACGGTCTAAAAAAGCTGTCTACATGGTTAAATAAATGGAGAATTACTGTTCTGACCCTCTTTGCTTTACTGCTGCTGCTCTTCTCTTGGAAGACCGTGAAACAGAACGAAATCTGGCTGTCACGAGAATCCCTTTTCAGGTATGAGTGACCACAGGAGAATACTTACATTTTTGTGTTGTTTAAAATAAGTTTGTTAGATGGAATAGTTTTCTTTAGCAAGAGTCCTGCTGTTGTTGCATTGCTGTGATTAACATTTTGATTATTATAAAATAACACCTACTTTCTGTTTTCTGGCAACTGTGCAAAAACTGGTGTCAGCACTTTATATGCTTATGCACAAACTTTGGTTCTGGCAATCGCATTTTTAAGACATGCTGTTTTTAAATAACTTCACTTCTTTAGATTTACCAATAATCTAACACTTTCCTTTTTAAAGACGTAGGAAAAGTTCGTTGCAACCCTCCAGAACACCATAGTAACGGTATTGAATATATTGAATTTTCTTTAGTGATGTTCTTAATGACAAAAATGAAATGCCATGAAGTGCCAAACTTAATGTACCATATTTCATTTTATTTGATTACTCTTTGCCAAACAGCTCTCTTTACAACCTCATTTATATATTTTTTTGCACTGAAACAGACTGTTTCATTTTGTGTTTTGCTAGCAAATGTATTGCATTTGCCTCCAGCTGCTTTCAGCAGTTGTCTAATTGTGAAGTAATTGCAGAAATGCAGGTGATCTGCACACGGGTTGCTTAGCTTTATTTTCTAACTTATTGGCCAGAGCAAAGTTTAATTTATGCAGCACTGAAGAGTATGGAATTATTTTTCATGTGTACCGTTCAGTCTTCAGGAAACACCATTGAAGTGGTTGGAGCTCTGTTAGTGAGATTTTTTTTTCAGAAAAATCTGGAATAGGGGTTTCTTTGCTGTGACATGATTCATTGCCCATCACCCTGAAACGCTGTTTGGTGTTCAAACAAAAGCAGCCATGGTGACCGGTCTGGGCTCGCGCAGCGATCCCTGTGAAGCACACCTCCAGTCCAAACCCCTCTGGCTAACGGTGGCCGCTCGGAGGAAAGCCGGACGCCTTTCCAAGTTGGATGACTCCCTTGTTGAAAGGGGGGTGGGAAGATGGCAATTCCATATGCCGAGTTGCAGGCATCACCTGGTATCACGTTGTATACGGTTGTGGTGACCCGTGTTTAAGAACAATGAAGCTGAAATGGAGCAGGTGACAGGAGGACATCTCCTCCTACTAAGGAGCACTCTTGGGATGATATGGGGTGCCAGGGGGTCTGTTGCAGAAGTGGAGGATAAGGTTATGTCTGCTTAGTTAGATGCAAATGGACTTCTGTTCATCCTACCTCTGTTCAAAGCAGGGTGACCATCAGCCAGCCCAAATTCAGAAACTGTGCCACTGCTTCAATGCAGCACTGAGGTGGAGCTAATATACTTTGCTCAAGGTAGGGATTTGGTGTTGCCCAGGGTAGTACGCAGGGCTCGGTGGCTTGGGTCAAGCTGGCTCACTCTTCAGTTCAGGTCTTTTGGGGACAATTCCAGGAGAGAGATCTGCCCTGGGCTTTTGAGGAGAAGGCAAGAACGTAGGTGTGCTCCTGCTGGGTCACCTTGTATTGTGAGCAATCCTGAGAGCAATCAGGAGCAGATGCCTAGAAAAGCAATGTAAGAACAGGGCCAGCAACAGCGATGCTTCTCTCGAGTCCTTTCCCAGCTTGCAGTAATCTGCAGTTTAAAGACTTCCTGAGTCCGGAGTTACTTGCTTTTTTTGCTTTTAACAGCCACTGACGGACTTTTCTTCCATTAATGTCTCTGACTGCTTTTTCAAATCTATTTATAGTTTTGGCTTCTACAGCATCCTGTGCACTGGGCTCTGTTGTTAAATTACACAGTGTGCACACTAAGATTTACCTTCTGTGTCCTGTGAGCCTTCTGCCTGATCATCTTGTTTGGTGACCCCTAGTTCTGGTGTTCTGAATAATGAGTGAGTAACCATCAGCTTGTCGCTTGTCCTCTGCCTTCCATGCCTTTACCCTCATGCCCTCACCAAAGGCTGTCTCTTTTTCACACTGGAGTCTGCCAGTTTTGAACTCTCCTCATATGGAAGCTGTTCTGCATTTCTGATCCTGCTTGACAGTCTTCGCTGGATGCTTTCAAACTCTAATCTGTCCTTTTGAGAAGGAGAGCAGAATCACCTTTCAAGAGATACGTGCAGCACAGTAACGTAGGACTGCTTTCCGGTTTTTGTTCTCTTCTCCTACTAATCCCTGATCTTCCACCTGCCTTTTGTGACCTCTCCTAAGCACCGGGTGTTATTTTCAGAGCACTGTCCACACAAACCCCAAGGTACCTCTTGTGAGTGGAATTGTCTGATTTATAGACATCAGTCTGTGTGCAGATTTACGCAGATTTAGAGTGTGTGTGTGTGTACACACTCTCTGATACTTGTGCCTGTACCAGAATTGCATTTCGTCTGCCACCTTCTTGCCCAGCCTTCAATACTGTGAGATCCTTCTACAACAGTTTGTGGTTAGCTTTAATTCCTGCAGTGTAATTCACATCGGTGTTATCAGCAAACGTGTTGCCTCCCTGTTTGCTCCCTTTTCAAGATCCTTTGTGAACCCATGAAGCAGCTCAGATGCCACTGCATGTCTCTTGGGAGCCCTGCTTGCAGTCTTCTCCAGTTGTAGAAACTGTTCACATACTTGTGCTCTTTGCTTGCTGTCTTTCAACTAAGTATTGATTCAGGAGAGGACCTTCCCTCTTACTCCATGATGCCTTTAAGAAATTGGAAGTCTTTAGTGAGGGATTTTATCAAAAGCCTTTTTGAACATTTAAGTGCACAACATTGATGTATGTGATTCTGACTGGGCTATATTTGGATTTTCATAAAAGCTTTCCATAGCTTCAGTACCACATACCTGTTGCGTCTTATCAAAGAACAACAGAGCTGCCCAACTAACTTCTTTCTGCAAAATACAAGGTTAATTCTTCTCTGTTGGATTGTAGTTATCCAGAACTTCGCTAGAACTAGTCTTTATTATGGTTTTCCCCAAATTACCTGGAGTGGAAATCGGACTTGCTGGTCTGTTGCCCCCCAGATCTCTCCCCTGGAGCCAAATGACATCATGTTCATCACCTCCCATTTCTCTAGTGCCAACCTCATTGAAATGATAGGCTACATACTGCAGCTAATAGCAGCTTCATGTTTGGTTTCCTTTGGATGCATACTACCAGGCCCAATGTATTAATAACTATTCTTGGTGTTGATTTGTTTTAAAGCGTATTTTACTGCCACTTCAGTTTGAGACAGTGCTTCGGACTTGCCCCTGTAAGGAAAGGCTCCCGTGTGGCAACCTCCTTCAGTTCTCCTGTAGTGAGCACTGGTGCAGATAATCCATTTAGCTTTTCTGCCGTGGCCTTTTCTTCTTCAAGCACTACTTTTAGACCTCCATCATCTATTTGCCTTAGGGGATCTTTGGCAGGTTTCCTGTATGTGATGTATTTCATTATTAGCTTTGATGGCTTTAGCAAGTTTTTCCTTAAATCTCTTTTGGTCTGCCTAATTATCATTTATGTTTAACTTGCTGAAGTTTATACTCTTTTCCTTTTTCCTTCTGTCACTGTGATGTTTGCTTTTTAAAGGGTATTTTTCATTTCTCATAGTCGTCTTTACTATGCTGTTTAACCATATTGGCCTGCTTGTTGTCCTTTTAAGATTTTCTTTGATAGGTGTTATACATCTCTTGTGAATCTGTAATATGGTAGGACTCTTCTTATTGATGGGAAGGAAAAGAAAAAGAAGAATAGTATAGCAAGAAGATAATGTCATCCCAGGAGTGGGAGATCTCGTCTTTGGGGCAGAAGGAGGAGGCTATGTATAGGCTGATGAGGAGAGGAGGGAGAAGTGGATGGAGGCATGCACAACAGCAGTAAATTAGAAAGGACAGACCAGGAGGAGGAGATAAGGAACAGTAAAGAAGTATGAGGGAAAATAATAAGGAAACAGAGCAAATCTATAGATGTGGGAAAGGAGACATAAATCAACCTACTTGGTAGTCTCTGTGTGTGTTGAATTTTTTTTTTTTAAGAAGTATATGCTGAGAGAATCTGTACTCCCATTCCTAGTTCTTCATTCTTCTTTTTCCAGTTGCTTCTTTAATTAAATACTGCTTTTTCCCTCCTATTACTTTTTTCCCTTCACCTCTACTTTCCATTCCTGCATTTGCTTGGATGTGTTTCTTCAGGGTCGATCTGTCTTGATTCCCTTGGCTAAGACCTGTTCTGCTATACACGCTTTTTCTACACTGGTCCAGGGGACGTTTGTATACTGAGCATGGTACCAGTTCTGTGCTTGTACCCCATTTTGTCCCGTTCCCAAGGCTTACCGTGCTTTGACATTGTGTGGCAGCACTGTTGCCATCTCTGGGCCATCCTGACTCTCAGTCTCCAGCCCAGGGGCCAAGTTTCCTGGATGCAGAAATCCTGCTGGGTCTTGGCTGAAGGCAGCAGTGTGCGGGAGGGTGCTGGTGTCTGAGGAAATGATGCATTGACACATAGGTGCACAAGCATATGTGCAAAGACTAAATGAGAAGCAAATGAACCACAAGACATGGCCAAATATATAGAGATCTAGGTATTTGAAGCATATTATTCCAACAGATCTCTAGAAGCCCCAAGCAGTTTGTCTTACTGTATTGGCAGGTGGGCTGGGAGGGCTTATTTGTTAAATATTTAAGGAACTACAGTATAGAGCAAATGCACAGGCCAGGAGCTAAGGCTCCTCAGGCTCCAACTGCGGTCAGCGTTGATGTCTGAAGCCAGGGAGAGGGAGGTGAGGTCTGTGGGCTAACCTCTGCATCCGCCGTACCGACCTTTTCAAGGTCTGTCAAGCTGCCATGTTTCCTGTTGCTCCTAGAAAGCATCTGCATGCACTGCCCACGTTCGTGACAGTGCCTGGAAACGCAGTTGTAACCAGCAAAGGAACTGTAGAAAAGCGGCACTTTCTTAGTCAGCAGTTTTCTCCCCCAAGACAGGTCTGCTGACTTCAGTAATTTGCAAAAACCATCCCAGCCCCAAAGGTGGCATTTACTACTGTGTTATTTTGTTAATTCTGAAAGCTAGCGTGGCTGAGGAGAGCAAGGCCTGTTGCTTTTTGTGCATCTTCTATAGAACAGTTTAATATAGCCCAACATTGATACCTGTGAAATCAATACATGGGTAGGAGGCCAAGGGAAGCGGTTGTTTGTGTCATCCAGAGAATAATTTGCTGTAGAGAACCTTTATTGATGACAGTGATGCCCAAAGCAGAGGAGACCCCATTGGTCTCCCAGGGCTGCTGCTGAGGCAGAAGTGGCCCATTCCCTTGTAAACTGAGCTCTTTTCATATGGAAATCACAGAAAATCAATGAAGCCTCTGCCCTGCACCCAGTCATTTTGCAGAGCAGAACATGCATTTAGGAAAACAACAGAGGGGATCACAAGAGACTTTTCACAACTGAAGTGGGATTTGGGCAATGCTGGTATTTGAGATTGGAAAATACCAGTGGTATTTTATTTCTCTGATTTATGGCTAATAGGCTTTTGCCTTTCCATGGAGAGGAAGCGTTACGTAAAAGGGTTTGCCTATTGTTTATTTTCCATTTATGTCGCTTACTGCTGTCGTAGAAGTCAAAAGGGAAGGAAATCCTCGGAAGAAGTGACGTCTGATTTTGGTAGGCTTGTTTCTGGCTGGCGCCAGATCGGTGGCCATAGGTTTTCAGAAGGGCATGTGTGAGCCGGGCCGGGGAAGAGGGAAATAGGAGAGTTTGGAAAAGCACACTGGAAAATTAGATTGAAATTGTGAGAGACTGGGGGCTTGTGGGAAGCAGAAATGGAAAAACATTGTGTTCTGCTTTGTTATTTGTACTCCACCCTTTCCTGCTTGGCTTTCATTGTGGACATTATTGTTTCCTCTGTCAACGAGCAAACAGTGTTCTTGGCTGGTCAAGAATCAATTAGCAGGAGTGTTTGCCTAAACTCTCCTAAAAAATCCCCTCCGTGTCCAGCGCTGTGTTTGCTGCTACCTCCCACAGCGCAGAGACTCCAAGCAGCCTCAGTCATTGCTATGTGCATTTGCAACGTGAAACACCCCCCTCCCCACCCATGCGAGGAGAATAAATAGGTCAGGGAGCGCGAGTGGTGTGATGCAGAAGAGAGCATCGTAAGAACCCAAACCGATTTCTGCCTTTCCTGTGTCACCTGCACCTCCAGCAGAAGAATGCAGATGAAAGAAACTTTATTAGTGACGTTTTAATAAATGGGACCAGCAGGATTAATAATAAATTCTATTTAAAGGGAAACAGTCCAGAATTAAAATATTTAAACATATGCATCTTACTGTTAAAACCGTATCTCATTAGAACTGAAGTACTTGTGCATATATAATGTACTCCTCACCATTAACTCAGTTTGCTCTGTTTCAGCAGGGACTGTAGCAGAGCCAGCAACTTATTGCACGTAGCTCTGAGAGAGCAGCAGTTTTGAGTGCCTGTCCGTGTGTCTGCCTGTAATGCTGGCGCTGATGTAATGAAACCCTCTCTGTATAAGAATTAATATTCCCGTAATGCCCAGAGGTTGTAAGTGTGTAGTTAATAGCTCCCAAGGCCAATGGAAATTAACACAGCCATAGCAGTCACACATTACTTGCTGCTGGTGCAGTATATCTTTGTGAAAACTAATATAGAAAATCATTCTCTTAAGAATAGCATCAATTAACTGATTTAATTCGGCGATTAGTCACAAAATGTCTTATTCCTGTAGTGCTCCCAGTAAGTAATTTGGAAATACCTGATGATTAGGAAGCCAAATGCAAGGTGTATTTTTAATTTCAGTAGGCAAACCGTGGCTGTGTTGTGCTGAACTCTGTAAGGCAGCCGTGGGCGAAGCTTTGGAAGCTTTCACAAGTAGGCATTAGCGATGCTTGATACCACTGGCTGCACATAACCAAAAATATACCGTATTTGCCACTACGATTCTCCAGTGCTGTTTTACAATGAATTCCCTGACAAAGGGTTTCTGCAGCCGTGGGTGCATTCGCCCCATGGGAGAGGGTGTGCACCCTACTGTAGGGGCTGTGTGCGACCCTGTCTCGTTATGATTAACTTCCATGCCCACCAAAGTTAAACAGGAGAGACAGACAAGGCAAAGTAACAAGACTTGGGAATTTCCTAATCTTTGCTTTTCCTACCTGAGGTAGGAGGGTCAGGGATGATGGGGAGAGAAAAGAGAGCAGCTGGCAGGAACCTGCTTGTGAGCAAGAAACAGCGCTTTGTCTGCTTTTACGTGAACAGATTCGTCCATCCTTATTTCCCATTACCTCAGAGAGCCCCTATATATGTGCTGGAAAGGATTTCCCCATTAAACAGAGTACTGACTTCTCTGGATTCTTGCAGAGGAAATGTTTCCATGGCGTACGTGCTCCTGTGATTTCTTTCTCTCTTTAACCTTGAAACAGCATTTCCTCTAGCTGTGCAAGGTGTACCTTGCTTTCTGTGCTCTCAAGTAAATAAGCATATGCTGGCTCTTCTTTTGTCTTTGTGCCCTCATTATTAATTCCAAATGCTGAGTACAATCTACAGGAGGCAGGAGACGACGGGAGGGACGGGGTGTCTGTGCAGCCACATGTCCTCAGTCATGTGCTATAATGCCAGAGTGTACAACTTGCCAGCTAAGGGTGAGAGTCCCATTAGCCCTCACCTCCTGGCCATGCTCTGCTCAGCGCTAAGCTGTGCATACGTGCTGGCTCGGCGCTCAGAGTATGCTATGCGTCCCCTCTAGTGGCTGATGTGCATGGAAAAGAGACCTTCTTTCTGGTAGCTGCAGCTGACAGATTTAAATCAAGATTTTCATAAGGCACTTCGTGACACTCAGGTTTAAGCAGGGACCCTGTTATGGCTGTGTTACAGAAAGTACTGTATGCTTTCCCTCTAAATATTAGCCTTTTTTAGAGTCTTTCAATTTAATAATTCAGATTTTGAAATACACCAGTATCTGGCCACAGGGAGTGTTGCAGTGTTGGTGACAGTGTCCAGGACGAGTTGAATCGCTGCTGCGTATTTATGTCCGCCTGGGGCACGTGGTGTACCAGTGCGTGGGGCAAGCTTGGGGTTGTAACTTGAGTTGTGTTGGCACGAGTGCGCAGGAGGTGATGAGGTGCTCAAAATCAGAGCAAACTTTTCGGAACAAAGGGACCGTGAGAAGAAGGTGGACCTTGGGGAAGGTGGGGTAACCTGGCCGCTAACACCATCCTGCTTCTGTTCCTCTTTGCAGCTCAGGAGTGAAGACCCTGCCCCACAACGCCAAGGTGCACTACAACTACGCCAATTTTCTGAAAGACCAGGGCCGTAATGTTGAGGCGATCTACCACTACAAAACTGCTCTCAAGTAAGTCCCTTAAGGGCCCAGTGGGGCTGTGGCCGTGCAGTGCAGCCTGCTGTTAGCCCAGCCCTTCCCTGCCAGGCATGGGGCGAGTTGCCTGCTCCTCACCCCTGGCTCCTGGGGGCAGCTCAGCTTTCGGAGGCTGGGAAAGTTCCCTGGCTCCGTGTTTGTGTGTCATTAAATGAGGTAGCCTGGCGTCCCTCCAGCTCCACGTGTGCATGTGTGTGTGTGTGCACACTTCAATATATGAGATAGAAATGTTACCATAGCTACACATTGAGCAATGAGGTGTATTTTACACAGCTGAATGTATGCTGGTAAGCAGGAGGTAGTTGTCATAAATGCATTTTCAGGTTCCTGGGCCATTTATCTTAGTAAATTGTTAATGGTGCATGCCTGGAAAATGCCAGTGCTGTAGCCATCTGAAATGCAGTAATAATAATAGTACTTACTACTTGTATTGAGGCTTCTGTCCACAGAGCTTTGCATGAACACTAAACTAATTGATCCTGAAAATGCTCCTGTGCAGTAACAGGGTAAATATCGTTACTGTGGTTTTGTACAGGGAGAAGCTGAAGCAGGAGGGTGAATTGCCTTGCCCATAGATGCATGGTAAATCTGAGCCCAGGGCTGGGCTGTAAGATGGGACATGTCCCGTGGTACCTCTGAAGGACCCTCCTGACCACGCGCGGACGGGGTTACTCCCTGCAAGCAGCATCCCTCTGCTTGCAGCTCCTGCCGGTGCTGTTAGTGCAGCTCAGCTGGGGCCTCAGTTGCTCCCTGCTGCCCGGGCAGTGCTCGGTGCAGTAAGCACGGTACCCCAGTTCCCCAAACCTCTCCTCTCTGGTCCTGGGGGCTTGGGAGAAGGGACAGGCCCCTCAGGGGAGTGGGTGCAGGGAAAAGAGCAGGGGAGAGTGGCAAGGAAAAGCAAACATGGAGGATGCAGATAATGTCTTTGGGAATAAAAGCATGTGTGGGAAGGACAGACAAGGTGAGGAGTGGCTCTGATGGACAGCAAGGGCAGAGCTCGGTTCCATAGGGCACATCAGGAGGTGCAAAAAATGTTCTTTCCTGACATGTGGTGTGGCAGGAAACTCCAGAAATTACATCTATGTTTTGTCTTCTGGCCAGCTGACAGGGTTATATGAAAGGCTCTCCAAGGGCTCCTAACCCGCCCAGGTTAAACTGGGAGGACAGGATTTCATTGTCGCTGAGGAGGGCCTGAACCTGGGAGAAGGTGATTTGTAGCTTTTTTGAGCAGCATCCTGTTCTGGTTTACCATGCTGGGCATTTAGGAAGTCATTTAGAAAAACCTCCATCTTATTTTTTTAATGTTTCCAGGAATGGAAAATCCAGCACAACCATCAATAAATTGTACTGAAGGTTAATTACCTTGGCTGTTGACAATGTCCTCCTTTATTTTTGGTCTGATTTGTTTAACGTCAGCTTCCAGTCGTTGAATTTGTTTACACCTTTAAATGCCACACTGAATGGAGCCATTACCCCAAGTCTGTTTTCCATAGAGTGATCAACTCCTCCCTTAACCTGCTGCTTGATACAACCCACTGATGTAGCTGCTGGCATTTTCAGTGTTATGTGAGTTTTTGCAGTCCTCCAGTCGTTCCTGTAGCTAGTCTCTGAACTTTCTCCAACTTACCAGAAAATCCCATTGCAAGTTAAAAAGAAGGGGGACTAACAAAAATTATCCAAGCCCTGCAGTGAACATGCTAGTACACAGAGTGTAACGTAACTGCTCCTACCGACATTGCCTCTGCTTGTGTAAATGGGATTTGCTGACAAAAGATTTTGCTCTTCTCTAACTCAGCAGCACCCATTTATTATAATTATAATGCTGTCTTCTGCTCTGCAGTATTTCAATTATGAAAGAGTCTGTTTTGAGAACTGACCGCAAACATTCCCTCAACTTTATTAAATAGCACAGTTTGTGCTGATGGTATTGTTTATAGAGCATCCGAAGCCTTTTCGGGGCTTGGAGCCACGCAGAACCAACTATGCCCTTCTCTAGGTGCTCAGTGTCTCAGTGACACCGGTGCTTGTGCTCCTCTTGCTTCAGTAATTTCAGGATTAGTTGGCTCTTTTGAAAAGCGAGGCTCTGTCCCCATCTTGCATGTTTGCTATCTGAGCCGGTAGCGCAAACCAGGAGTCGGGAGTCTCCTACTGGCTCCCTCACTGGGAAGCTGCATTACTTGGTCCCACTACCTTGTCTCTCTGCACTTAGGCTTTCCTTATTTTTACCCCTTCCCACGCCTGTAGCAGGGAAATTGCCGTGTGATAAGCAATAAACCAGCGTGCGTAGCGTGTTCTCCTGTTGAGAATTACGTTCTCTGTTTTCCCCTCAGACATGCCCCTTCTGAAGCGCCTGGGGTTGTGTGTAGGCCTTGCAGCCTCCGCCAGGTGCCTATGCGTGATGGCTGCGTTGAAGCGGTGGAGAAGGTGATGGGTGTGGGACAGGCAAGATGGTGGTGGATACAGTGGAAGACCCTAGACAGGTATCGCAGATAAGAACAGACTTCATGTCCAAGCTGTTTACCCATCCTCACGGGCTCCAGCGGTGCAATTGCTGCTCTGATTGTAGACCAATTACTCTACAATTAGAAGGAAGTAGTAGCTGTAATACTCTGACCAGGTTTTGATGGTTCAGGGTATTTTTGGCCACTGGCCTGACCTTAAAATGCAAGAACAGCTGAGAAGCTGAGGCACCACTCACTCTATGAATTTCCTCATCAGGGAGTAGGCAGTGCTAACACAACCAGCTTCCCTCATTTACCCCAGGTACCCCTCAGTGGGTGTCTGCTTTCGGGGTGAGTCCGGGTGGATCCACACTGCCCGGGTTACAGAAAATGCAAGCTACTCGAGAGGCTTCGCAATCCGGCAGCAGCACCGTCAGAAGTATGGGAGATCAAAATATCATATCTGCCTAGCGTGCAGTGAGCAGATCAATAAGGGAATTAATAAGGAAATGGAGTGAATAAGGACACGGGCTGCCACCACCGCCACCCGGGAGGGAGCTCCTGGGAGGTGGGAAAGGGAGAGCTGCGTCGCCCTGGACCGGCTTTGTCTGAGGCACGTGGATGATGGCTCATCCATCATTCCAGCTCGCTTCTAAAGCTTGTGCCAAATTACAATGTAGGTCTGCTTGATCTCTGGTGAATGAGTCTAACTGTTTGCTAAACAAAAGTGATCCTGTCAGTCGCACTCGGCTGCTTGAACCGCTTGCAATTACCATTCCACCAACATAATGATGCGTTTCTACGAGCTGCTTCTCTGCCAGAAGTGTCGGTTGCCATGTAGCTATTTAGCGAAACAAAGGTTGCCATTGCTCCTGTGAAGTAGGCAGGTGATGTTGTAGCTATAGCTGTGGGAAAGGATGTTGAAGTGCACACGGGTTACGTGGTGAAATAATAGCAATTGAGACTAAATCCTGGGAAAGTTGATTCCCGGTGCTTTAATCGCTTGCTCCCATTCCTGCTTTCAAAGGCAGGCAGGATCCTCTGCTGGCACGTGTTGGTGTATCTCTGTTAACTTCAGGGCAGATAAATGATGGAGGAGAAGAATGTATTTTCTCTGACAGTGAAACTGCAGGGCAGGTTTCCAAGGCAAACTCAGCAGCTGATCCCGACAACCACCTGTTGATGCCATTGTAAGTGGCCTGTCAAAAAACTCATTCCTCACCACAGCCCAGGTGCCAGTGACACAACATCCTGACTTAGGTGATTAGTGCAATCTAATCATGCTGTCCAAGAGTGGGGGAAATGAAAACTGAAATGAAATGCAAAAAAGGAGAACAACATTTGGATTGGAGACGAGGAGAATGAAAAGAAAAAAAGTTCTGTGTACGTAGGAAAAGCTCCTCCTGTACGTTGGGTTCCTGAAAGGAGAATGGAAGCGGAGCCCTTCGGACATGCAAGACGAGTTACCTGTAAAGCAGACTTGATGAACAGCTGGCGTTCTGCAGTTGTAGCAGTGGGTTATAAACCTTTCAGTTTACTTTCAGTAAAACAAGAAAAACACTGCTGGATTAGACTGCTTGACTGGTTTGGCTGACATATGGTAGTGACCCCAGGAGATACTTGGGGTTTTTTTCCTGCAAAAAGTAAAGGCCAGAAATACTCAGTCTGAGATGTGAGTTGACCATGGCTACTCTGAAAGCTGGCCTTAACATTCTTGCTGCTGCTTCTGCTGCAGATTTGTGGCTGTTGCTAGGAATTTCAGAGACCCCCTGTTCCTGGAGGTCAAACAGTGCTGGTCTTATCCAAAATAAAACTTGTCTTGCCGCTGTTTTGTTTGAGTGAGAATATGAGATCATGCAACCTCATGCAAATATGAAGAACAACTCTGATGTGCTAATGAAGACATTTTTGCTGTTATTGATAGTTACCAAGCTTTTGTCCTGCTTCTCCTCAGCCTTGCTTCCTTGACGTTGCTGTTGAGACTGTTTTATTGCTCCTCAGGAATGCACATGAGCTGACATGCAGAGAGAGAAAAACAGTAGAGCCTTAAAACCCATTTGATGAACATTCGTTATGTCTTTAATAACACTTTGAACAATGGGGGGGGGGGTGGTGGAATTCACCTTCCCTGCTGCAGTTGCACTCATTCAAAATTTTAATTCCCAAACCAGCTCTGTCTTACCGTCTGTGTTTGTTGCCAGGGCCGTGCTTCCCATGGATGGCAGATTGATGTGAGCAACAGCGGGTGAGGCTGAAGGAGGTTGCTGGGTTTCTTGCTGAAGTCGGGTGAATAAATGCGCTAACAATAGTTCTGTGCTATTCAAGCTACATTTCTGTGTTTGGCAGAAGTTCAACATCTAAAAATTCATGCTTGCACTTTTGGATATAAAAACATATAGATTTGCTCTTAATTAAAAAATGTCAGTAGAGTATTGTGTTTAAGTTAACAGTGGGGGAGAAAGAGTTATCTTTGTGTGAAGGCAGATGCTGTGACCATCAAATGATACAAAACGGTTGAATCATAACTGAATTATT